AAATTGCACCTTTGCTAAATAAATACCCAGTTTTGTACACAGAAATCTAATCCTAGATGAAGCTTTTTCTAACATTTGTCTGTTGCGGAAATGGCTTTTCTAAAAAAAAAAAGTTCCTTCAATTTGTACATAACGACCTATAGTACCGCTATATGAACTTAAACCCGAACTGAATAAACTTAACAAAAAAAAAAAAAAAAAAAAACATCCAAAGAGAACGCTGTTATTCTTAAACCCTACATACAATCTTTAAATCAAATGTATTTTTTTAGCAGCAAGCTTGTTCATATTTTTCCTGTGTAATTACATTACATAGAACATTGCTATAATTCAAGGTTACTGTATTCTGGAAGCGTATACCACCTATACTCATTATAACGGAGTTGTGACATACTTTTTTTTGTATTTCTTTTTGTACTGTAAGTCGCACTCTCTCATTGTGTACTTGCTGTTTTTATATTTTCAGTTGTATGAAACTCTGAAAACTAGAGGAACTTTGTTCTTCTATCATTAAGAGAGAGAAAAAAAAAAAAGCCATCAAAGTCAGGGCAGTTTAATCTTGGTCTAATAAAAAGCACAGCACATCGTGGCAACCCCTCAATTTCCTTGGCTCTATACCAGTCAGTTCCCTTTAAGGAAAAGATTTGTCACCAATTATAAACAACACCTACAGGCAGAAGAATCAAAATCAAGAGCTTAAAGGGCGCTAAAGATGACAAAGGATGTGCAGAGACAGTAATTCACAAGGTCGAGATAATGGTGGCCTCTCGGGACTCCATGATAAAATAAAAGGGGAGTTTAGCCAACGGGAGAGATGATCATGATGAATTGGCTTCAGGTAGAAACAGACAAGTCCAGAACGGTGGAGGACAAGAGACCCCCAATGAGATTTCTGACCAGTCAGCGAAAACTCTGGAAAAAAAAAAAGCCTCACTGCTGTTCTAGCATTGTCTTGCCTTTCCCAGGCCTCAAGTGAGGTTAATAAACAGCCAAACTAATTAATTACAGAGTGTGAAATTAAAGGCTTTCCAAAGAGGCTCAGATAGGGCAACATCTGCTGTGTATTATGTGCTGACTGCTTAACAAAGGGGGGCGCCGATATGGAGAACTCCATTAAAAGCAGAAAGTTTGGTTATGGATGGAGACAGGCATAGAGCACCCAGCCCAAAGGTGACCTACGTGGCACCAACCGTATAGAATTTCACAGTCTTCAAAATGGAAGGCTAAACAAAAAAACGTTTTTAGGTTTTGGATATCAGGAAATAAAAATGCTGCTATCACTTTGGGCTGGACTCACACTTTGCAGGAACAAGGACCTTCCCATGATGCGCATAATGTGTTGTGATTTCATTCATATGGAATGGCACCCCAAAGCACAAAGGAAATGGAGACGATCAAAGTTTGCAGAAATGGTATAGAAGATCACCAGAGTGCACAAAAATACTACAGGAGATGGCCAGAGACTGCAGACATAGTACAGGGGATGGCCAGAGACTGCAGACATAGTACAGGAGATGACCAGAGACTGCAGACATACTACAGGAGAGACTGCAGACATAGTACAGGAGACTGCAGACATAGTACAGGAGATGACCAGAGACTGCAGACATAGTACAGGGATGACCAGAGACTGCAGACATAGTACAGGATGATGACACAGTAGGGGATGACCAGAGACTGCAGACATACTACAGGAGATGGACAGAGACTGCAGACATACTACAGGAGATGGACAGAGACTGCAGACATACTACAGGGGATGACCAGAGACTGCGGACATACTACAGGGGATGGCCAGAGACTGCAGACATACTACAGGAGATGGTCAGAGACTGCAGACATACTACAGGAGATGGTCAGAGACTGCAGACATAGTACAGGGGATGGCCAGAGACCGCAGACGAACTACAGGGGATGGCCAGAGACCGCAGACGTACTACAGGGGATGGCCAGAGACCGCAGACGTACTACAGGGGATGGCCAGAGACCGCAGACGTACTACAGGGGATGGCCAGAGACCGCAGACGTACTACAGGGGATGGCCAGAGACCGCAGACGTACTACAGGGGATGGCCAGAGACCGCAGACGTACTACAGGGGATGGCCAGAGACCGCAGACGTACTACAGGGGATGGCCAGAGACCGCAGACGTACTACAGGGGATGGTCAGAGACCGCAGACGTACTACAGGGGATGGCCAGAGACCGCAGACGTACTACAGGGGATGGCCAGAGACCGCAGACGTACTACAGGGGATGGCCAGAGACCGCAGACGTACTACAGGGGATGGCCAGAGACCGCAGACGTACTACAGGGGATGGCCAGAGACCGCAGACGTACTACAGGGGATGGCCAGAGACCGCAGACGTACTACAGGGGATGGCCAGAGACCGCAGACGTACTACAGGGGATGGCCCGCAGAGACCAGAGACCGCAGACGTACTACAGGAGATGGTCAGAGACCGCAGACATAGTACAGGAGATGGTCAGAGACTGCAGACATAGTACAGGAGATGACCAGAGACTGCAGACATACTACAGGAGATGGTCAGAGACTGCAGACATAGTACAGGGGATGGCCAGAGACTGCAGACATACTACAGGAGATGACCAGAGACTGCAGACATAGTACAGGAGATGACCAGAGACTGCAGACATAGTACAGGGGATGACCAGAGACTGCAGACATACTACAGGAGATGGACAGAGACTGCAGACATACTACAGGAGATGGACAGAGACTGCAGACATACTACAGGGGATGACCAGAGACTGCAGACATACTACAGGAGATGACCAGAGACTGCAGACATACTACAGGAGATGGTCAGAGACTGCAGACATACAGTTGTGACCAAAATTATTCAACCCCCAATGCTGTAAAGGGGTTTAGGGACTATAGTGTACATTTGGAATTGTATTCAGAATCAAATCCTACAAGGACGTTGTAACTACCCAAATGCAACTAAAATGACATCAATTGTTTATGTAATACAGTAGTAAATGGTTCTTATGTGGTTTCTTCATTGCATTGCACAATTATTCAACCCCTTAAAGACTACCACTCTGAAGAACAGAGGTTCATACAGGTGCTTTCCATCAGGTATTGAAAACACCTGTGGATGTCACCGAGCAGCAATCAAGCATAATAAGCACCAATTAGGCAGCTTTAAAATGACTGTGATACTCAGCTCCTTCTAGACATTTACTGGTGTGGTTACAAACATGGTGAAGGCAAGAGAATGGTCCAGGAAGACAAGAGAAGAGGTGATTTCTCTTCACAGGAAGGGCAATGGCTATAAGAAGATTGCAAAGATGTTGTTAAACATACCAAGAGACACCTTAGGAAGCATCATTCGCAAATTCAAGGCAAAGGGCACTGTTGAAACGCTACCTGGTCGTGGCAGAAAGAAGATGCTGACTTCGACTGCTGTGCGCTACCGAAGCGTAGAGTGGAGAGAAGTCCCCGTGTGACTGCTGAGGAACTGAGAAAAGATTTGTCAGATGTGGGTACAGAAGTTTCAGCCCAGACAATAAGACGCACACTGCGTAATGAAGGCCTCCGTGCCAGAACTCCCAGGCGTACCCCCTTGCTGTCTCCAAAGAATAAGAAGAGTCGACTGCAGTATGCCAAAAGCCATGTGGACAAACCACAAAAGTTGTGGGATAGTGTTCTGTGGACTGATGAAACAAAATTAGAACTGTTTGGGCCCATGGATCAACGCTATGTTTGGAGGAGGAAGAAACAAGGCCTATGATGAAAAGAACACCTTGCCTACTGTGAAGCATGGTGGAGGGTCAATCATGCTTTGGGGCTGTTTTGCTTCTGCAGGTACAGGGAAGCTTCAGCGTGTGCAAGGTACCATGAATTCTCTTCAGTACCAGGAGATATTGGATGGAAACGTGATGCAGTCCGTCACACACCTGAGCTTGGGAGACGTTGGACCTTTCAACAGGACAATGATCCCAAGCATACCTCCAAGTCCACTAGAGCATGGTTGCAGAGGAAAGGCTGGAACATTTTGGAGTGGCCATCGCAGTCACCAGACTTAAATCCGATTGAGAACCTCTGGTGGGACTTAAAGAAAGCAGTTGCAGTGCGCAAGCCTAAGAATGTGACTGAACTGGAGGCCTTTGCCCATGAAGAATGGGCGAAGATACCCGTAGATCGCTGCAAGACACTTGTGTCAAGCTATGCTTCACGTTTAAAAGCTGTTATAACTGTAAAAGGATGCTGTACTAAGTACTAAGATTGAATGTCACTTGGGGGTTGAATAAAACTGATAATGCTGTGAGCACAGAAAAGACATTTGTGGTTATTTCATTATAACTGTTATGTTATATTTGTCTGACCTACAAGTGCCTCTTTAATGTAAATGTAAGCAAGATGACTGAATGATCAAAAGCAATGTCAAACTGGCCAAAACACTCAATTTCAGTGGGGGTTGAATAATTTTGGTCACAACTGTAGTACAGGAGATGGTCAGAGACTGCAGACATAGTACAGGGGATGGCCAGAGACCGCAGACGTACTACAGGGGATGGCCAGAGACCGCAGACGTACTACAGGGGATGGCCAGAGACCGCAGACGTACTACAGGGGATGGCCAGAGACCGCAGACGTACTACAGGGGATGGCCAGAGACCGCAGACGTACTACAGGGGATGGCCAGAGACCGCAGACGTACTACAGGGGATGGCCAGAGACCGCAGACGTACTACAGGGGATGGCCAGAGACCGCAGACGTACTACAGGGGATGGCCAGAGACCGCAGACGTACTACAGGGGATGGCCAGAGACCGCAGACGTACTACAGGGGATGGCCAGAGACCGCAGACGTACTACAGGGGATGGCCAGAGACCGCAGACGTACTACAGGGGATGGCCAGAGACCGCAGACGTACTACAGGGGATGGCCAGAGACCGCAGACGTACTACAGGGGATGGCCAGAGACCGCAGACGTACTACAGGGGATGGCCAGAGACCGCAGACGTACTACAGGGGATGGCCAGAGACCGCAGACGTACTACAGGGGATGGCCAGAGACCGCAGACGTACTACAGGAGATGGTCAGAGACCGCAGACATAGTACAGGAGATGGTCAGAGACTGCAGACATAGTACAGGAGATGACCAGAGACTGCAGACATACTACAGGAGATGGTCAGAGACTGCAGACATAGTACAGGGGATGGCCAGAGACTGCAGACATACTACAGGAGATGACCAGAGACTGCAGACATAGTACAGGAGATGACCAGAGACTGCAGACATAGTACAGGGGATGACCAGAGACTGCAGACATACTACAGGAGATGGACAGAGACTGCAGACATACTACAGGAGATGGACAGAGACTGCAGACATACTACAGGGGATGACCAGAGACTGCAGACATACTACAGGAGATGACCAGAGACTGCAGACATACTACAGGAGATGGTCAGAGACTGCAGACATAGTACAGGGGATGGCCAGAGACCGCAGACGAACTACAGGGGATGGCCAGAGACCGCAGACGTACTACAGGGGATGGCCAGAGACCGCAGACGTACTACAGGGGATGGCCAGAGACCGCAGACGTACTACAGGGGATGGCCAGAGACCGCAGACGTACTACAGGGGATGGCCAGAGACCGCAGACGTACTACAGGGGATGGCCAGAGACCGCAGACGTACTACAGGGGATGGCCAGAGACCGCAGACGTACTACAGGGGATGGCCAGAGACCGCAGACGTACTACAGGGGATGGCCAGAGACCGCAGACGTACTACAGGGGATGGCCAGAGACCGCAGACGTACTACAGGGGATGGCCAGAGAGACCGCAGGGGATGGCCAGAGACTACTACAGGGGATGGCCAGAGACCGCAGACGTACTACAGGGGATGGCCAGAGACCGCAGACGTACTACAGGGATGGTCAGAGACCGCAGACATAGTACAGGAGATGGTCAGAGACCGCAGACATAGTACAGGAGATGACCAGAGACTGCAGACATACTACAGGAGATGGTCAGAGACTGCAGACATAGTACAGGGGATGGCCAGAGACCGCAGACGAACTACAGGGGATGGCCAGAGACCGCAGACGTACTACAGGGGATGGCCAGAGACCGCAGACATAGTACAGGAGATGACCAGAGACTGCAGACATACTACAGGGGATGGACAGAGACTGCAGACATACTACAGGGGATGGTCTGCAGACTGCAGACACAGGGGATGGCCAGAGACTGCAGACATACTACAGGGATGGCCAGAGACTGCAGACATACTACAGGGGATGGCCAGAGACTGCAGACATACTACAGGGAGGGGATGGCCAGAGACTGCAGACATACTACAGGGGATGGCCAGAGACTGCAGACATACTACAGGGGATGGCCAGAGACTGCAGACATACTACAGGGGATGGCCAGAGACTGCAGACATACTACAGGGGATGGCCAGAGACTGCAGACATATTACAGGAGGTGGTCAGAGACTGCAGACACAAAGCAAGCTCTCCCTTTGGCACGATTGACTTCTAGGGGTTAGAGGGCCACACAACAAGTACAACCCAGAATCAGTATACATGTGCTGCATGAAGTGTCAGACAACCGAGCGTCTCTTGGCCTTCCAAGGTTTTAGTTCCAAATCTCCCAGAGATTCCATACAAGAGGAGTTTGCGTTTTGTTTTTTGCCTCATTGCATTTTTCCTATTTCCATCTGTTTTTGGAGGGGAGCTCTGAGCGGCACTCGATAAACCTCCCACAGTTCAGAGGGTGGATTTCATCATCTGCGCTCCTCTCTCATTCTCATCACAAGTCCGGGAATGATCTATTGCTGGTCTCAGCTTTACCTTCAATTTACTTGTAGTTTTAGCTCTTTATTCTTTTATGGGTTTTTTTTTTTAGTTTTATATTATTTTTTTTACATTTTTTTTTTGTGTTCGTGCTGAACTTGTAATACATGCTGCCAAAAAGATGACAGACAGCGCTGATAACCTGACCTTGTGAAATTACACCAGATATGCAGACGGTGAGATAATTTCAAAAATTAAAAAAAAAAAAAAAAAAAAAAAAAAAAAAAAGGGGGAGAAAAGCACCGTTACTCCTAGTAACAAATCAACTTTGTGGAAGAGTAAATCAAAACTATTTATTTAATATAAAACAGATACAAAGAATATTCAAAGCTATATTCACAGCTTTTATTTGCAGAGAACCTGAGATATTTGACATTCGTAGAACGTTGCTGAACAGACTGTTTACTGCCTTGTTAAAGTATTGTATTTATTTATTTCAGATACTTATATAGCGCCGACAATTTACTCAGCGCTTTACATATATATTGTACATTTACATCAGTCCCTAACCCTCAAGGGATGTACAATCTAAGGTCCCTAACTTACATTCATACATACACATACTAGGGCCAATTTAGACAGGAGCCAATTAACCCTGCGATTTTGCAAGTTCTCCCACTTAGAAATCATGGAGGGGTCTGAAATTCACATTGTAGGCGCATTCTCACTCTGAGAGACAGAATTAATTAAAAAAAATTCAGAAAATCACATTGTATGATTTTTAAAGAATGTATTTGTCTTGCACTGCTGAACAGAAGTATTTGAACACCTAAGAAACAGCAAGAATTCTGGCTCTCAAAGACTTGTTACTAAAAAGTCCACCTCTACTCCACTCAATATAACTTAGTAGCACCTGTCTGAGCTCTTTAACCACTTGCCTACCTGGCACTTATACCCCCTTCCTTACCAGGCCAATTTTCAGCTTTCAGCGCTGCCGCACTTTGATTGACAATTGCGCGGTCATGCAACATTGTACCCATATGAAATTTTGATCATTTTTTTCTCACAAATAGAGCTTTCTTTTGGTGGTATTTAATCGCCACTGGGCGCTTTACTTTTTGCGCTATAAATAAAAAAATTGCAAAAAATTTGAAAAAAAAAAAAAAGTTTGTTTCTTTTATAAAATTTTTCAAACAGGTATTTTTTCTCCTTCACTGATGTGCGTTGATGAGGCAGCACTGATGGGCACTGATAGGCGGCACTGATGGGCACTGATAGGCAGCACTAAAGGGCACTGATAGGCACTACTAATGAGGTGGCACGGATAGGCGGCACTGATAGACAGCACTAATTAGGGGTCACGGATAGGCGGCACTGATATGCAGCACTGATAGGCGGCACTGATTATGGGTACTAATAGACGGCACTGACTGGCATCACTGGCGGCACTGACTGGCACAACGCCTGGGCACTGACTGGCAGCACTGCTGGGCTGCACTGGTGGGTGGCACTGGTGGGTGGGCACAGCACTGGTGGGCACAGGTGGGTGGCACTGGTGGGTGGCACGGGTGGGCACAGGTGGGTGGCACTGCTGGGCACATGTTGGTGGCACTGCAGAGTGGCACAGGTGGGTGCACTGCTGGGCACAGGTGGGTGCACTGCTGGGCACGGGTGGGCGGAGCTAGTGGGCGCACTGCTGGGCAAAACTTGTGGGTGTCACTGCTGGGCACCGATCATCAGGGCACTGATCATCAGTGCCCTGATGATCGGTGCCGATCCCCGCTCTGACAACTGCCGGTTCTCGGCAGTACTTTCCTCACGATCTGACAGCGTGAGGAAAGTGCAGCCGAGAACCGGCACTTGCATTTCCCTGTGATCAGCGTGTCATTGGACACCGCTGATCAGGTGGTAAAAGGCCGCTGTGATTGGCCTTTTACCACATCACGTGATCAGCTGTGTCCGTAGGACACAGCGATCATGGAGATCGCCGGGTGCACGCCGGCGCGTTCTGGGAGGACGTCATATGACGTCCACCCAGAACTGGCCGGCCGCGGTGAAGCCGTCATTCGGCTATGCGCGGTCGGCAAGAGGTTAAAGACACCTGTCCACCCCACAGTCCGTCAAACTACTACCATGGGCAAGATCAAAGAGCTGTCAAAAGACACCAGAGACAAAATTGTGGACCTCCACAAGGCTGGAAAGGGCTACGGGGCAATTGCCAAGCAGCTTGGTGAAAATAGATCAACTGTTGGAGCAATTGTTAGAAAATGGAAGAGGCTAAAGACGACTGTCAGTCTCCCTCGGACTGGGGCTCCATGCAAGATCTCACCTCGTGGGGTATCACTGATGATAAGAAAGGTGAGGAATCAGCCCAGAACTACAAGGGAGGAGCTGGTCAATGACATGAAGAGAGCTGGGACCACAGTTTCAAAGGTCACTGTCGGTAGAACACCCGTCATGTTTTCAAATCATGCATTGCACGGAAGGTTCCCCTGCTCAAGTCATCACATGTCCAGGCCCGTCTGAAGTTTGCCAATGACCAGCTGGATGATCCAGAGGAGGCATGGGAGAAAGTCATGTGGTCAGATGAGACCAAAGTAGAACTTTTTGGTTTAAACTTCACTCGTCGTGTTTGTAAGAAAAAGAAGGATGAGTTGCATCCCAAGAACACCATCCCTACTGTGAAGCATGGGGGTGGTAACATCATGCTTTGGGGGTACTTTTCTGCGAAGGGGACAGGACGACTGCACTGTATTAAGGAGAGGATGAATGGGGCCATTTATTGTGAGATTTTGAGCAACAACCTCCTTCCCTCAGTCAGAGCATTGAAGATGGGTCGTGGCTGGGTCCTCCAACATGACAACGACCCGAAGCACACAGCCAGGATAACCAAGGAGTGGCTCCGTAAGAAGCATATCAAGGTTTTGGAGTGGCCTAGCCAGTCTCCAGACCTAAATCCAATAGAACATCTTTGGAGGGAGCTGAAACTCCGTGTTGCTCATCGACAACCCCGAAACCTGACAGATCTAGAGGAGATCTGTGTGGAGGAGTGGGCCAAAATCCCTGTTGCAGTGCAAACCTGGTCAGGAACTACAGGAAACGTCTGACCTCTGTAATTGCAAACAAAGGCTTCTGTACCAAATATTAACACTGATTTTCTTAGGTGTTCAAATACTTCTGTTCAGCAGTGCAAGACAAATACATTCTTTACAAATCATACAATGTGATTTCCTGAATTTTATTTTTTTAATTCTGTGTGTGTGTTTTAATTTCTATTATATATACATACATATACACACATAATATATATATACAATTTAGACAGGAGCCTATTAACCTACCAGCATGTCTTTGAAGGTATGTTCTCCCTGTGCCTGTGTGGGTTTTCTCCGGTTACTCCGGTTTCCTCCCACCCTTCAAAAAGACATACTGGTGCTGCCATGGTTGAGATTCGAACTGACGACCCTATCTCTGCCAGGTGGAAGTGCTAACCACTTAGCCACTGTGCTGCCCAACATATAACTTAGTCCCCAGTCACACTGGTGTGACAGGTCATGCAATTTTATAGTATCAAGTCACATGACAAGTCGCGCCCTATTCTCCGTAATGGAAGCAGTCGTATCAGTGCGATTATGACTGTCGGAGTCACACTGATTTTTAAAGTGCTTCTTGCACTACTTCTTGCAAGTTCAGGTGCGACTTGCATAGACATGTGTGCATGAGGTCGCACAGATGCCTTCCAAGTTGCGCCTGAAGTCAGACTGACATCAGACTTTGAAATTGTGAGAATTCAAGTGAAGTCGGATTCGGTGTGACCGGGGACTTAAGGAAAATCTTTTTTTTTTTTTTTGTAGTTTTAGGTGGAAGGGGAATAGAACTCTTTTTTATTGTCCGTTAGGCTCTTTTCACGCCAGGTTGTTTAGAATCACAGCGATTCTGCCCAAAAATGCTTTGCAAACATGACAAATCGCACAACGCAAATTTCAGATGACATTCGCTTTAATGGCACCTAAAAATGCGGTGCAGTTCTGCCGCAATTGTCGTGCTTCAAATTGTGGCAAACCGCATCGCGTGTGAAGCTTAACGCCAAAAAAGACTTCTTTTGGGTGACAAGCTTTTCACAATGTCATTTATCGCATAGGTGGCCATACCGCGGTTTTAGGTACCATTAAAATTAACTGCATCTGAAATTTGTGTGATTTGTCATTTTAGCAAAGCGTTTTGAAATCGCGGGCAGAATCGTGGTGATTCTGCCTGTGAATCAAGACGACTAGGTTTGAACGGAGCCTTAAAGAGATTTACCTTCTCTATTTCTCCTCTTTACCTCTTGCTTGCCTTTATCCAGTCCTTGGGGTACTATGCCTTCC